CAGGTATGATTCTTCAAGGAGTTTTTTTATTATTTTCTCCGACCTATTAAGACACAAAATGTTTTCAGTTCTGGAATCCCTCGTGGGGATATTTTGTTCTGCACCAACGGGGGCGTGCTTGGGGCTGCACAGATTCTTAGCGCTCAGGGTCTTTTCCTGGTGAGAGTTTCGGGAGGGATTTACATGTCCTGTATTCCCGAGAAGGCACATCGAGCGTTCTCTAGCTGGTTCTAAATCGACTGTTGGGTGAGGGACGGTGGATACACGAGCACGCGTTCAGACGACATGGCGGGCATCACAATTTCAAGTCCTTTACTTGTGTTAACTCCCTTCACCCTGCCACAACCCACTGGCGTAGCTGCTTTTACTATCCCCGTTTCATAGATGGGTGGGGTGGGTGGTGTGTCGGAAGCAGAATTTAATCTCAGGCATCCTGAGACCCCGGGGGTGCCTGCCCCTTCAGTGCAGGGACAAATCATCAGGAAATCCTGACACGCACACACAACACGCACACACACACGTGCACACACATGTGCGCACACACATATTATGGCGCAGAGGCACGAGTCTGATTCTTTGCAGTTCTTTCCTGCACTCCACCATCCTCTGTCCCTGTGCTGCCTGACCCATCACTGCATCTGCCCAACAAGTGACCCCACTTACGTGACCATCGCTCTGCTCTTCTCTGAGAAAATTATGGGGTCAAAGAATGGAAAAATCTAACCTGGTTGCTCCGGGGTGCTTTTCTCTTGGGTTGTTTGTTTCTCCCCACCCTGAAGCCCAGCCGCTGTGATTCCTTCTGGCGAGGATTCCTGGAAAGGAAAACTGCAGCTGAAAACTGCAGACTCTGAGACCCATTGCAGGGTTTTTTTTCTTTTTCCCTCTTTTCCTGAGGAAAGCTCACATCATAGCTGGGATGAATAACTGGCTTCCAAGTCCTGTAATGGGCACAATATCACATTCCTCCTCCTCCCAGGAACTCCGAGTACGAGACTGACGTGAGCACAGGGAGACGGAGTAGACGGAGCAGGCGCATCCTCTCCATGGAGAGGAAGGTGCACCAGGATTCTGAGTCTTAAGTGGCCGTGATCAGAGCAAGCTGAACAATAGGCAGATTCCTTGGCACTATTTTTACAGGCTGCTAAGTGTAATTTCCTGATGAGGACTGTAGATAAAGCCGTGTTGCCCATTTAGACAGCGGGAGCCTCTGCGTAGAAAGAATCATGCTGGAAACGTGGGCTGGATTCTTTTTTTTGGCGTTGGGATTATGTTAACTGGAGAACCGCAGGCTCTTCTATTTGGGAAGGAGAGGAGTCAGCATTCTTCTTAGAAAAATTCAGGCCTTACTCTTCTTGCCGGGAGCTAGTTCTGTGTGGCTCGACGCTCTTCCCTTTTTTTCCTAACCCTCTTCCAATAGTTGCGGCTTCCCTTGGCCAGCTGATTTTTACGTGTTTCCCTCCCGCCCTCCCTTTTTCCCTTTCCTTTAGAAAAACTCTGGCCATCTGAGTAGTAGGGACAGCCAGGAGGACCTTCGTGTTAGGAGATCTGTCCCCGCCGTGGTGTGGTCCTGCATTTGTGAGCTTTAGGTCTAGGGTCACCAGTGGGCGACTGTTCCTTTCTGTCTATACCGTTGCTTATATATGCTCACGTTTGAACTAGTTTCTAAATCTTATGATAGTAAGAAGTGACTGTCCGCATTTCAAGTAAGAAAGATTCAACGTCTTCTTTCTTTCTCTTTCCACATTTAAAACAATACCTAGCACATAAGAAGGTGCTCAGTAAGAACTGGGTTCATCCTCAATCTGCCGATTCTCAGTTCCTTTATTGGGTACTGGTCACAGGCTTCAATATTCAGCCTTGCAAAGCGAGTCTTATTTCAGATTGTAAAATTGTACAAACTCAAGATTTTATTACTTAAAAAAAAAAGATGTATGGGTCACTTGTTTATCCCATTGTTCACTGTAACTTTGCTGGTACTCCAACTTCTAGTGAAGGTATGCTTTTTATGTTTATTACGAAATACTCTGGTTCCACAAATAGCTTTCTGTTTTCTAAAACTGGATCACTGCTAACGAACACGCCTGTTTTCTTTTAAATTGTGAAATTTCCTTAGTCGCGTTGCATAGGCGATTTTCATGACATCATGGGGGAATGCCTCCCGCCGGTTCATTTACGGCGGAGGGAGACTGTCAGAGTTTCCTCGGGAAAATGTTTATGGGTTTAAGAGGTTTATGAATCACCTATAAATATTTGCACTGGGTTTATGAGACCTCTCCTCATAAACATTGTGTGTGTTTATCTATTGCTCATTGAAATGTCTTTAGAAAATCAGAATGTTTAGGGCACACAGACCTCAGGAAGGGTTATATGTGACGGATTTTAAGAGGCTCTATTGTGATGACCCTAAATTTTGTTCATGACTTTGTTGAAACAGCACAGAGTCATCAGAGCTGGGCGTAAAGGTTTTGCTTTTTTATAAATCCCATCCTGTTCTGACGTTCGGGGTACTTTTTAAAGTGTTTTCCTTAGGCTAGCAGAGAGTGACAGGGCTTACCGTTCCTCCCGACGCCCGCTGGGGAGAGCAGTGTCACCCTCTGCCCTCCTGGTTAGCTTGACCGAATAAATGAGTGTACTCCAAAGTGTAGAGCCCGTTGTGTTGGGAAATGTAGCTTGTAATGAATTAAAGTTTGGTGGAAGCACCATTTTTGGTAAAATGCTAATAGCATAGATTAGAATCGTGTGAAGAGTAATGAACTACAACCAACGGTCTCAAAGTCGAAGTTGAGACATTTAGGCTCCGGTCACCCCTGATCGCAGCGATAGCGTCCTCAAATCTTAGTGGGCAGTGTGATGCGGGGCGCTAAGGCCTCTCATCCCAGGTGCTGGTGGCAGCAGGCAGTTTCTGATGGTTCAGCCTCTAAGCGAATGTTTGTGATGTGAAGGAACCACTCGCTCAACAAGACGTTCATCTTTCAGCAGCGGTCGTTCTTGGAGGCCTCTTACCTCCTTTGGCCCAGGACTGAGTTTGGTGCTGATGTCTTCCCCCGAGGCTCGCAAACCGGTTCTGGGGGCGCAGCCCACTCTGTTCTCTCTGTCTTAGCCGCCTCCTGTGTCTTCTCTTTGCCTGGTTTTGGCTGTGGAGTGTTTGAGTGCCCACCATCGGGGAGAGGCAGGCTTGAAGTGTCCCTTGGCTTCTGCAGGTGGAGAAACGGGTGTGGTGGTTTCTGATGCGCGGTGCAGGCGGGAGAAGGAGGGGCAAGGGGCTTCAGAAGAGCCCCAGCTTTGACGTCAGACAGCCTGCCTTGGGCTCCTGACTCCGGGCTGGGCAGCAGTGGCTCTGGGTGACTCCCTCACCATTCTCAGCTCCCGTGATCGCTTCTGTGAGTGGCCATCCATCAGGGTGCTTGGAAGGATTACGAGGTGTTGCATGGAAAGTGCTGTTTTAGTCCACTTTGTGTTGCTGCGACAGAATACCAGAGGCTGAGTAAAGAGAAGAGGTTTATTTGGCTCATGATTCCGGTGGCTGGAAAGTCCAGGATGGGGCAGCCACGTCTGGGAGGGCCCCACGCTGCTTCCACTCCTGGTGAAGGTGGAAGGAGTGGGCTTGGGCAGAGAGATCACGTGGGGAGAGAGGAAGCAAGAGAGAGAACGAGGAAGCTGGACTCTTTTCACCGCCCGCCCTCAGGGAACTAGTCCATTCTGGGAAAGCCAGAACCCAGCCCTGCTGGAAGGCATGAATCTATTCATGAGGGACCTGCCCTGTGACCCAGACACCTCCCACCAGGCCCTGCGACCCTGCACGGCCCCACTGAGGATCAAATTTCAGCATGAATTTTGGCAGGACAGGCTGTGTCCAAACCACAGCAAGCAGGTGGCAGAGAACTGACAGCCAAACGCGGTGCGGCCCTCAGGACCCTCCAAGGAGGGCGGTGGTTTTGTGGAGCTGGAAGTGCCCACACGAGCTAGCACAAGGGGCTTGGGAGGGCTCTGGCTGAGCTGAGGCCAGACAGGGAGGGTGGAAAGAAATTCTGGACTTCCTAGGCAGCAAGTCCGCTATCCTCAGACCCTGTGACACTGTGCCTGGACACAGGCACGTAAATGGTGCTGAGCTGACGCCTCTGACTAGTGCACGAGAAAGCGAATTTGGCAGTCGATGCCCTGTGCTGTTTCGCGGGGGAGTGTCATGAGCAGAGCCAGCGGGTGCCCACCCCCCAGGTGTTTTGCAGAAGATGACACCTTGGGTGTGCCTCTGTGTGTCTTCAAAGCTCAGAACTCCCTGGCCTCACCAATCCTTAGCTGGGGGCTGCAGGACCTGTTGCCTTTTTTCGTGGGGGGAGCACATTTCCGCCTGAAGAGCTTCAACCCCTGGGTGGAACAGCATGTTGGGAGAGCTGCAAAGGGAAGGTTTTCTCCTCGGATGGCTTTTTCTTTTTTTCTTGGATGTTCGATCGTAAGGCGCTTGACTGGGGTAAAACTAAAGGAGGAGGTTCTAAGCAGCTTCGGCTTAGAAGGCGAAATCCAAGGTACCTTTCACGTTAGCATCTTCTAACTTTGCAAAAATTATCCTCTTCTCTCAATTTCTGAGATGATACAGAGTACTAGGAGAGAATTACGCTTCCTACTTATATGTTAAAATTTTTTAGTAGAAAAAAGGTAGTGGAGGCCTCCAAAATAAATAAGCCTTTCTTCTTAGACCCAGCTGTCTGTAATTCTCCTGGCCCCCTGGACAGGACAGACACCATTTCTGCACTAACTGCATGACTGAAAGCAGTACTTATGCTTGGCCAGTGAAACAGGCTCCTGCTTATAGAAAATGCACGGGTCGAACCTCAGCTTCCATTGAGCATTGTTGCAGGAGAAAAGAACCCAGATTTTCGAAGCTCTCATTTGCCTGTTTGGACAGCTCCTCCTGTTGTATTTTGGTTCCTATGACAGCCCTGCAAACAGGTTAAAATACTGTGTATGCCTTATTATTTCTTTCCATTTGAAACCACGACATCACATTTATGCTTTCTATCCCTGAAAATGTGTTATTTGGTGCTTTTCAATTATACAAATTATATCTTACGTACAGCCTTAAAGGTTTTGGAGATTGCTTGGTCTGTGCAATTTTCAAGTAGTTAGGATTTTAAGAGCCCGGGTGTGCATCTGATTGTATTTCTTTTGTTCCGTGGGGTGGGAGAGGCACATGTTCTGTTGCGTTGTGCTGCTGTGTCTGGCCCTGAGAGCTCTCTCTCCGCAGCAGGCGAGAGTCGGGGGTCCCGGATGGGGGAGGCATGTCGGGCAGGTGTCTGTTTCTGCCGCTAACTTGCCAGAATCCTCTGGGCCTCTTTTTTTTTTTTTTCTTAAAATGACATCGGAGTCAGTGCTTTGTAAAGTTCCTTGTGGCATTAACAACCTAGTATATTACTTTATAATCTCCAGCTACAGGAAGAAGCCCGTGGACAGACAGCGCTGGTTCTCCGTGTACATGGTGCATGCTCAGTGCCCGACGGTTTCCGGCACCTTGTTCTCCCACCTGCCCGCAGGCTGGGGCGTCCACGTGGCGTGTTTCAAGCTAACACACAGGCATGCAGCAGATATGCCTTGAAGCAAGCCTCGTGCCATTTCCCCGAGAGCACTTAACGTTACTGTTAATTTTGTCGGGGTTGTCAAAGCAGAATTTCCCCAGTGTTTTCCTTTCTTTAGCCAACGCCTCTAAAATCAGCAGAGTGAAGCTCCGTGAGGAATTCGGCAGTATCCTCCTCACCTGCAGAATTAGCTTATCTTCTTGCAGGAAGGGTTTTCTGGTCTCAGCTGAAGACCAGCCCCTCTTTCCCGCCTTCACTCAGGCGTTGATATTCTCTTCTTTCGTTTTCCGACAGAGGAAGGTTCCAGCTTGGAGGAAATCGGCTTCAACTGGGGAGAATATTTGGAAGAAACAGGTGCCAGTGCTGCGCCTCACACGTCGTTCAAACACGTACGTGAAGCATCTCTTCCCTCCGATCTGCGTCTGCGGGGCGGGAGGGAAGGGATTCTCCAGGGAGAAGCCAGAGAACCGATCGGAAGAGAGGTAGTGGGAAGAGGGAAATTCTGCCCAGATTTCTTGGGGTAAAGAGGGACCGTGGAAGTTGCTTTGGTTTTCACAGATAGCTGCAAGGGAAATGAGCCACAGGTAAGATTGATTCAAATAAATACAAAGCTAACAAACTAGGCAAGTAGGTATAATGTGAAATGTCTTCTTTGTAGGTGTAATGGCTGTATATTTTTATTTTGAATTGATACTTTTATTTTGAAAGGACACATAAAAGTTTTATAGCCATTTGTGGGCAGGTGAGTCATAGCAGAGGAAATAACCATTAAATATATTGAGAGCATTTGGATCCAACCATAGAAAAGATTCCATCAATAGTATTTCTTTGCAAATAATGCAAATAGTATGCTCAGCAGAAGGCAAGTCCTAGAAAATGAAAAAAAAAATCAGTTTTTATCAGATTTTTGCTTAGGTGTGAGCTATTGGTAATGTATCATTAGTAAGGAAAAGACTAAATTTCCAGGACCCAAGTTCTTAGGCGTCAGCATTGTTTTAATGGAAATGGAGATTTGATTCCAAGACACATTTTTGTACTGGGCTACCCTGGGTGCAGAGATTTAGCCTGAATATCATAAGCACGTTGGGGCACTTCCTTACCCTATTCTTCTGTTGGGTTCTTGGCTGAATGAAGAAGCCAGAACTTTGATTTCTTCTTTTTCTTTTTCTTTTTTTTTTTTGAGGCAGGGTCTGGCTATGTTGCCCAGCCTGGCCTTGAACTCCTGAGCTCAAGCAGCCCTTCCACCTCCCGCGTGGCTGGGGTTACAGGCATGAGCCGCGGTGTCCAGCTTGATTCCTTATTTTAATAAAAATTTTTTTTAATTAATCAAATATTTTTATTTTAGTTATCCATTCCTTTAATATTATTACTGAGTTTACTTCTTATATTTACTATTTATTAGAGTCTATAAATTGATAGTTTTACCACTTCCTGATTAATGCTAGGATCTTGCATTTTTTTTTCCTTCTTTTTAGAGGTGCAGTGTTCTTTTGAAAGGGAATTTAAGATTTCATTTAAATTTGCATGACCTTGTGAAAGCAGGTGGCTTTCCCCTTCCTCTTTTTCTACTTGTCATGCTGTAACGTCTAGTGTGTTAGGAATGTGATTGTGGCTGTTTAGTAAAACCAAGAGCTAAATATTAAAACATAGCAGAACCAACGCTTTCCTAGCCTACAGCATGGCTGCGTGGTCCTGAAAAAGCCATTGTAGCATTTACAGCTCAAGATGCTAGGATGATTTGGTGGTTTCCTTAGGCAGTTGAGGACAACTTTTTCCTTCCTTTCTGCACCAATTTCTCTCCGTACGGGGCAACTCCTGCTTTCTTTGAGTCAATCAATTCTCCTGCCTCCCTTTAAGCCACAGTGTAGTGTCCTGCAGGGCAGCCCTGGAGGTGGTCCCACGGGACACAGAACTTCCCCAGGCCTGTGTGCCAGGTTTAAAGGAGAATCAGCATTGGGCCCAGGGAAATGTAACTTATAATTCCAGCATCTCCTTTAAGCACCGGCTGCTTATGGATGACAGGATATGTCAGCTTTGGAATATTATGAAAAGCTAGAAAGCTTTTTTGGGGGGTGAGGGCTGATAAATAGCAATAGGTTATAACCCTTAATTTAAAAAAAAAAAAACCATTTTCTAAGGCTGTGCTGTTCATGAAGTAGCCACTCCCACTTGGATCTGTTGAGCGCTTGCAAAGTACGTAGTCCGAATGGATTGGTGCTCCAAGTGTAGACGACACACCAGGTGTTGGAGGCTTTATGGGAAAACAAGAACGTCAGCTATTTCATTGATGTTTTTAATATTGATTACATGTTGAGGCCATACTATTTTGAATATATTGAGTTAAATACAATGTCTTGTTAAAATTAATTTTATCCATCATATCTTGCTTTTTTTCCCCTTCCCTCGTAATGTAGTTACTAGGAAATTCAGCATGACATTTGTGGCTCACATTACATTTCACTCAGACAAATATGTGCCTGTTCCAGGGCAACAGAAGTATTGGTTTAAGGGGCTGTATGTTTAGTAGTTCTTGTAATCTTCCAGAAGCATGTGTCTAATAACGGCTTCTCTATGTTTCTGACTCCCGAAGGTCGAAATCAGCATTCAAAGCAACTTCCAGCCGGGGATGAAGTTGGAGGTGGCGAACAAGAACAACCCGGACACGTACTGGGTGGCCACCATCATCACCACGTGTGGGCAGCTGCTGCTCCTGCGCTACTGTGGTTACGGGGAGGACCGCAGGGCCGACTTCTGGTGCGACGTGGTCATAGCGGATTTGCACCCCGTGGGGTGGTGCACGCAGAACAACAAGGTGTTAATGCCGCCGGACGGTGAGCCCCTGTTTCGAAGGCTTTGATTTGCAAGCGATCATCCTTCTCGATGCCCGTGGTTGCTATAGGGGGGCAGAGAGAACCTTGTAGAGCATCCCTAAGGGATTTGGCACGAAGATCTTACAGCTCTTTCAACATTGTCTCCTGGGCCTTGTTAGCTGGAGGATGCCGGGATGAGCAGAGAGAGGATGAATTTTCAGATGTTAGAGCCGGTCCTGGCGGTTGAGCCAACTGTGCCTTTGGGAAATGAAAGTGTTTGAGCCTCATCCTCAAATTGCTTTTGGAGGGTAGGAAAGGAAGGCTGATGGGATAATACCAGGAATCGAGGTCTTGTTTTCTCTTTGGCGATTGATTATGTTGCTTTTCTTCTGCTCTAGTGAGTCGACATTTTGAACAGGACTAGACAGCATCTTCAATAGTCTTCTCTAATAAGTCTTGAACTGTCTTGTTGTGGGGAGGCTGTCAGGGTGTGAAGCATGTAGAAAACCAGACAGATGAAGACAGATGACATCGCTCACAAGGGAATGGTCAAAAGCTCATATAGATAAGATCCATTTAGTTGCCACAAAGCTGGGGCTCTGGAAGGGGGCAGTTCCCCCCCGCCCAGGGGACATCTGGCAATGTCTGGAAGCGTTTTTGGTTGAGGAAGGGAGGGGAGGGAGTTGCTACTGACATTTAGTTGGAAGAGGCCAGGGGTGCTGCTAGACCCCCCACAATGCACAGGACAGCCGGGTAGCTACGAGTTGTGGGCTCAAACTGACATAGTCCTGAGGTCGGGAGGCCCTGCCGTGGAAGAGTGGGCTGCATATTGTAATAAAGGAACTAAAGAAACGCCTCCAAATCCGTAAGTGAGAAAACCGAGTTCAGCCAAGTATTTGAGTCTCAACACGCTATACTCTGTTTCATTACATGATAATGGCAGCAGTGACAACCTGCAGGCCTTCGATGCTACTTTTCAAGCCTGTGTCATGTCTTCTTAGTGGCCTCTTTTTATTTTGAAGTGATATATAAACTTTTAAAGTAAAATCCTAATGTTTATTTTGGCCATGATATTAGCAGTGGTCTGAGCTTTCAGAGTATCTGAGTTTTAGCATCTTCTTTTTAGGTTATGATATATTGTTTTTCTGGTTGGTGGGAATGGTGGGTGGTTTTTTACTACCCTTTGTTGTGCATAATTGATCGCCTACTAAGGAGGGGGCTGTAAACCATAGCTGGAGTTTAAGAGTTGCATTTATGTGACATTTGTCAGAATTGAGTTCCTTGCTTTGGCCTTAGCTGACATCTTGACCCTGTATTGTCTCAGAAGAAGGAGAAAACGGGTCTGCTTTCATTCCTTCCCGCTTTGGGTCTTTGCACCTGCTCTCTCCCGTGCCGAGAACCTCCTTCCTCTCCTCTTTCTCCTCCTCCTCCAGCTGCCAGCATCTCTCTCTCTTCCTCTGCACCGAGATCGAAGCTGACGCTGCCTGTGCTCACATGTGAGGTCAAACCCTGTCTGTGCCACACGGACGCCTGGGCACTTTGTGCCAATCACGGTGGCAGTTGTACTTTTTCGTTTGAGATATAAGTCATACCATAAAATTCATCACGTTATAGTGTACAGTTCATTGATTTTTAGTGTGTTCCCAAAGTCATGCAGCTGTTACCACCATCTAATTGCAGAACATTTTTGGATTGCCCCCAAAGTCACTCCCGATTCTCCCCGTGCCCCACATCCCCTGGCAAGCACTAATCTACCTTTCTGCTTCTATAGAAGTTCCTATTCTGGGCATTTTACATACATGGAATTCTACCATATGTGGCCTTCTGTGTTTGGCTTATTTTACTGAGCATGGTGTCCTTAGGTCTCACCCCTGTGGCAGCATGTGTCAGAGTGTCCTTCCTTTTCAAGGCTGAGTAATAGTCCATCGCACGGATCAGCCACATCTTGTTTCTCCATGCATCAGCTGGCGGACGTTTAGGTGCAATTGTACTTCCAAACGTGTGGTTCTTTGAACCGTATGTTCTACCCACCTGGACAATAAGCCCCTGTTGTGAGCTTGGTCCCCCGGGCACCCAGTGCCAGCACTTACTGCCTGTGCTTGAGAACTTCGCAGCGAAGATTCACTGGGTCCCTAGCTCAGTGACCCGTTCACTGAAGAAAGTTGAAACGCTCCTTGCATAGTAGTCGCAGGTGGTAAGGAAAAGAATCGTGGCTGTTACCAGGGCAAGAGGTGCCGACGCTCTCCCTAACCTGCCTTCCTTGCGTTTGGGTTGGACCTGTGCCTTCTCTCTGCAAGTGTGAGCCTCCCTGTCTGACCCCTCTACTGAAGGGCGCTTTCCCGGTGAGCACTGGAGAATGGCTGTTGGCGGATCAGGCTCTAATATAGTTCTCAGTCCAGTTGTGCGTGAGCAGATCGGAGGGGAAGGAGGCACGCTGTGGGCTGAACGGTGCCCTGTAATGCTGCTGGGAATGCCTGCTTCACTCGGCCCCAGCCCCAGCCCACATGGGTCCCAAGTGACATTTTTAGATCTGCCTTTGAATGAAAACCACCACTGAGGTGAGAAGATGTGATTATTTAATTTTCCTGTGATTTCTGATTTGTCATAAATCAGCCTCGATGGGTGAATTGTACCGATGGAATATCGGGAAAATGCCAGTTCTAGTTAGAGCATTGGAGACCTCCCAGTCCCCCGACTCTGCACACAGACGCCATTCGGACACGCCGCCACACGCTCAGGAGGGGACAGACACATGCGTGTCCATTCCGGGGGGCGTGTACACACTCAGGGGCATGGAGCAGGGGGAGTCCAGAGGGGAAGCCTGGGCGGGGGAGGGGGCGGGAGAGTCGAGCTGGTATTTTCATCATCACAGTCATGGGTCCCTCTTAACATTTGTCACGCGAGTCACTAAATGCCCTTGGAGAGGATGCAAGGTGGTCTCACTTCATAATAGCTGCTCTAGTGAATAGTTTCAGAGAGAAGTTCCGGGGTACTGAATCTTAACACTCTAAGAGCTAATGGGTTCATTTGGTAAAAATCCATGCCGTTGCTTGCGAGAGGGCAGAGTTTAGTAATCAATTCTTCCTTCTCATTTGGAAGGGAAACGTGGCAGCCGTCACAGCCTCAGAATCACGTTGGTGCCCCATTGACTGTGTGCTATTAGCCAAGACACGGCTGCACTTAAAGTGACAAGTTCAGAGTGAAAAACGGGAAAACCCTGGAAAAAGGGAAACCGTGAATGTAACTGAAAGATCGAACGGCTGTTCCGGCAGTCACAAGTTATGCTAATTTGACGATTTCTTCAGTGATTTTTTTTTTTTTTAAAGAAACTTAAAAAAAAAAATTTAGTAGGTAAATCAATGTAACTTAGAAATCTTTAGTGCAGAGAACAAAGTCAGGAAATAGCAGGTTCACGGGGCAAGAGGTTTTATTGATTGCTGTAGGACAGAATAATTATTGCTTTGTAACCAGAGGCGGCAGTTGTTCCAGAGGGAATAGCAGAATCTATTTGTTGAGCAAGGATTCCTGTTCGTGTTGTTTTCTGTCTCAGAGAGCTAATATCATTGTAAATTCTGCAGCCAGGCCTGGTCGATCTTTGTTGTGGTTAAACTTGAAAGGCATCGTGGACTATTAGGAGGAGTTACAGCAATCCACGGTGCGTGATGTTTCTGTTTGGGAGTCTCCGTGGTGGCAGAGAGATTTCCTTACTGATCCCACGAGACAGGGAGGTGTAAAGGGAGGGGCCTGAGGTTGGAGCCAGAGATCTGGGTTCTTATCCTGCCTGTGCTGTTAGCACAAGTCCGTGGGAGGGTCCGACCTCAGCTTTCTATCTTTGGAAGGAGGGGATTACAGTATATAATCACCAAAGAGCTTTCCAGTCTGAAATGCCTTGGTTTGTGCTCCCTGTGAAGGAAGAAAGGAAGAAGGGTGTGGGTGCTAGTCGTCCTACTTAATGCTTGGAATTAGGGTCAGTGGAAGTCTAGCCCAGGAATCTGTCCTAACACGGAAGTCAGGTGTCTGAATTACTGTTGGGGATGATGGATTGGGGGACACATTCACTAGGTCAGGAGCTTACTGTGAGTGCCTGGGTGGGATTTCCCTCCATGAAGAACTGTAGACAGCTGTTCCCAGCTGCCCCCCAGAGAGCCAGGAGTATTCAGTAGAGTCTGGCTTGTGGATGGCAGCCTGGGAGTGTTTGGGAATTCTGCCCATTGTTTCCTGGGAGGAGGAAGAGGATGCCTTTCCTTGTCAGACTTAGCTCGTGGAGCTCCATGTCTTTCAGGACGTTTTGGGATTGTCCAAAGCAGTCTCCTCTGTTCTGAAGTCACTGCATTGAAAACAAGCGATTTCATTATTTTAGACAATAGCTTTACGACGCACGTAGTGCTCTTCATGGTTCTGCATTTTCCTGCCTTGCGATTTACAATTAATTTAAGCTTTGAATTAATGTGGGCCGTCCTTATTCAGTTAAATGTTACAAGGAAGGGAAAACAGCGTGGCCGGAGCTCCAGGAGATGTCGTTAGGACGTGGCTCCCACCATCAGTCAGAGGACTCTGTTAATAAGGACGTGTTTAGAGAGACCCCGGTTCAGCGGTCAATTGGCCGTTCAGAGAGTGGCGTTCCTGCTCGGCAGCTAATCGGTACTAATCTTTCATATTAAAAGTATTAAGGAACATACTACATTAAAGCACCACTAAGTGCCGTGGAGGATTATGGCTCTTATTAGCGGAGCAAAATGTGAAACGTTTTGGCTTAGTAAATCAATAAGGCTTGATTTATTCATAAGCACATGCAAAGCTCGCAAAGGGCAGCTGCCAAATAATTATTGTTTATGGTGATAATGTACGGAAATCATTTAATCCAGTGACTGTTGCATTGTTATTTATTGAGAAGTAGCGACATTACCTCTTAATGCCTGGGGCCGGGGAGCTTTGGAGTTTGAGCTGGTGCCTACTGAGTTCCTGCAAGGATGCTCCTGATGGTTGCAGGTAAATATGTGCGATGATGCGTATCCAAATAA